TATGAAAATTATTAAATAAGGGTTGGTGAAGATTTTTTTCTTATCTCTTATCTTTTACAGTTACTTTTAACCAATTAATGACAAATCTCATCTGGGAATTAGGACTCAAAAAATTTTTAGGTCTCACCATTTAACCCAAAGTGCTGCAGTCATGCTCACTGGCTGGGAAAGTTGCATTACTTGGGTTCATGTCATTCATTAGAGCAGCCATTTCTGTGGTGTAATAGATTTTAGCTACAATTCAACACCAGAGCATCTTAATATTTGCAAAGTAGAATGTCACTACTGGCTCATTGGGAACATCTACTTTTCTCCTAGAATTTCACATTATGGTCAACATTTGAGGCATGGTTAAATCTTGACAGAGTAGATGTGAAAATCTTTCAAAGAGTTAAATATAGGGGCGCCTTGGTGGCTCAGTGGGTTAAGCATCTGCCTTCAGCTCAGGTTATGATCCCAGGGTCCTGGGATCGAGTTCCGCATTGGTCTCCCTGCTCAGTGGGAAGTCTGCTTCTCCCTCTCCTTCTGCCTCTCCCCACCAGTTTGTGCTTTCTCTCTCACTCTCTCTCTCTCTCGTAAATAAATAAAATCTTTAAAAAAAAGAGTTAAAAATAATGTAAATGGAGCTTCCACCAGAAAACTTCGAAGTGGTATCATTTCTGGATATTTGTGTTTGATCACCATTTTCTGTGCCAGGTCACATGTTCAGCGGCCTGGCAGGTCCTGTGATATATAAAAATACTTCCATTTTATAGGAATGTGCTGGCAAAAATCTACCACTTCTATGAATTATTAGTCCTTTTCTGCTAATTATTTTGAAAAACGCAGAGGTGCAGGTCCAAGTTCAAGTGGCTCTCAACATCTGAGACATACCTGGTATAAAACTGCCGAAAATCTCTGCCTCATTTGGCTACCAGTTTCACCACTGCATTATGAAGCCTAGAGGAAAAATCCAGTTTCTTTCTTCTTGTATTAGAAACTGAACAACAAGTTGATTGAAAGAATGATTGAGAACAGTAATCACAGAAGAAATGTGATAATAAAACAAGTAACCAATTTACGACATAAAGATAGATTTTTGCATTTTCTTTAATGTTTATGAAAAACAGAAAATTACAAACTGAAAGGTTGTAATGGTTGCAAACCCTGGGACTCATATGTCTGGTTTCAGGGGACAGGTAAAGCCCTGCGATTTTAAACAACTACTACAAAAGATTAGAAGAAGTAAAAATGAATCAGCCCTGTCCCCTTATCTTCAAGTGACATACTGGCATGTGGCCTTCTGTCTGTGTGTATTTGTACAAACTGAACTCCTGCTGGACATGCTGAGTGCTAAACAACATTAACATAAGGAAAGTCACAGGTCCTGGATGGAAGGTGGTGTGGGAAATTGCCTGATGATATAACTTCTCCTAGAGGCTCTCGTGTGCTACTAAAGTTAATAATCAGGACATGAAAAATTTGTAGAATTAAAAAATTGTTTTGAATTCCATATTATAGCCAGATCAGGGTGACAGACGAATGATAGCAAGGAGATTAAGGAAAGGAAAATGAAGAAGGAAGGAAAGAGGAGAATACAGCCCCCAAAGGATGACAAGTAAAGAAGTTCAGAGCTCTGGGGTCCCAAATCTCCTGGATTTCCTGGCCTGCTGGGCCAGGTCAGGAGAGGTAGTAGAACTGGGAGCCCCCAGCAGAATCAGCTCATTGGTCTGGGGAAAGTAGCTCCCAAGAAAAGAAGTTTCCATAACTCCTTTCTCTTATGGCAAGAACTGGAGCTTGGATCTGCAGAGGCCGATAGGAAAATGGGGGGCGAGAGGGAGGGAGAGAGTGAAAGAGGGAGAAGAGGCAGAGTTTTGTCTGTAAAGGAGTGACTGCTGATTGATGTGTTCGAGCAGGAAATGTCCTGAGCTCCTAGGCATGGCAGTCCCCCCACCTCCTCGGAGCGTCAGTGCTGCCGGGTGCCAAAGGGCATTTTGTCACCGTGGACCACAGGACATAAGATACAGGAACTTGCTGGGCAGACTGAATGACCTTGAGTCTAGGGTGTGTTTGTAGCTTCTGGATGCTGTGATGCTCTGTTCCAGATTTCAGTTCTGTTGTTGGAAGTTGGTGCTATCAAGGGGACATTTGGAAAGAGAGGAATCAGAATTCATTATTTCTAACTTCATCTACGACTGGAAAGGAAAAATCCCTCTAAGCTTTGGGCCCATTTCTCTATGCTATATATTTTTCTCTTCGTTGTTGCTGTCCTTTGCTTTCCCCTGAAGAATGTAACATGTTTTAGACTGCTCCATATTATAAATCTCATTTAAAAAGTGTTGAATCAAGGAAGTCTGCCAGCTACTTTTGTTTTCCCTACTTTTCTCTCCCTGTTGGACTGCTCCAGCAAAGGAGAATAATATTACCTTACCATGTAAAACATGGTTAATGGCTTTAAAAGAATTCCCCAACAACAGAATAATGAGCTGCCAAAAATATTCTTGGTGCCAAGGGATCTGCATATGTCTGTTCCATTTATTGTGTGTTTCTCATTTCATCATGACTAAGTGCTCACAAAAAAACATAAAAACCCAAACCCCTAGGGTATGTGGTGTTTGAGGGCAGAAACCATATTTTAATATATTCAGTCCTATACCTAACATAGTAAGATGATTAGTAGAGTATCAACAGCAAACAAAGATGAAGGCCTGTTGTATGTAAGACGCTTAACCTATCAATTACATTAATATATGGCTACTAGAAGGAAGTCTTTTTTCTACCACCTCTGCTGTGCTTAGTTGAAAATGTTTATTCTAAGGAGTACTGGAAGTTTCACAACAAAAACTCGTGTTCTGTTTATTTGAGTAAGTTTACTTTTCTAAGAAATGTGAAGATGGAACCTATTTCTTAATTAAAATTTCATGTTTTAAAGCCTGACAGTGCAGTATCACAAAATGATTTCTTTTTATTTTACCTTGATAATAGATTGAGTCTATTAAGAAGGGGGGGTTTTCTTAAAAACTTATTTAAAACATCGATTTAAGAATACACTGAGCAGATCTGGGGGAAAAAAATAAAAATATAGAAAAAAAATGTAAAGGTGCTTTGTTTCTCCCTAGAAGCAAGTCAAGAAGAATAGCATCTGAACCCCCTCACCAAGCACTCCAGCCTCCCCTAGACCCTTCCCACTTGGTCTGAGCCCAGACTGTCTGGTTCTCACTTGGCAGGAGACTCTTAATCTCCCCCACTTTTCTGTTTGGGCCAGACAATTGCCTGCTGTCTTTATGTGGTTTCTGACTAGGTTATGTTATGTTTTGCCAGTGTCTTAATTGCTAGTATCTCTGGGGCAGGATAATTGTCTTCCAAGAATTCCTGAGATAGGGATTTTGAATTGTCTTGCATGTGATTCACAGGACAGATAACATTCATATAGGCCTCCTCCCCTGGACCAGGAGCCATGGAAATTCCTGGGCTGGTTAACTAAAATTCCATGACTTTGACTCCTACTCAGCAAAGCATATTGGAATTCAATTGGATAAGAGTGACTTCATCTGAGGAGATAAGCCTGAATCTGCTTTAAATTTGTGTGTGTGTGTGTGTGTGTGTGTGTGTGTGTAATTCATATCCAAAATGTAATCCTTTAGTATGTATCATATTTACTTAAAATGCTTCATCATAACCAAGTATATGAACCCAAAGCCCACAGTGAAACACAATGTTCATGTTCTCTTAGGACCAGCTCAGTCCTCAGAGAGGGCCTGGGGAAAATACTGCATAACCTCCTGTCTTTCCAGAAGACTAATGCCTAGGAGACACTGAGTTGTCAGCTGACAGTAAAGCGTTAGAGGCAGAGTTCTCAAGAAAGAAGCATAGCACCATCCTAGTTAACATTGGCTGGAGCAAGGTAGATCTTTAGCTGCCTCTGGAGACCCAATGCTGAATACCATTTCCCATTTGCAGAAATAAATTACACAGAAAGACAGTGATTATCTGCTGTGATTATCAAGCAATCAGTGCATAGCACAACTCACGAATTTAGGGCTAGGTGGGTGTTTACTGAAATCAAAACAATTTTGCCATTGATTATGTAAAATATAAAACTATGGGTTTAGTACAAACCCTTAACTTTTATTAATGCAGTTTTTATTAAAGTCTTTGATAAAAATTAGCACTTTTCTTTATATCAAGTACTCAGAAAATTATTATGCCTATAATGTAGGGAAGAACTATTACATAAAAAATTATAGAAAATCTTTTTTTAATTTTCTTTATTTTTTAAAAATTTTATTTATCTATTTGACAGAGAGAGACACAAGCAGGGGGAGTGGAAGAGGGAGAAGCAAGCTTCCCAAGCAGCAGGGACCCTGATGTGGGGCTCAATCCCGGGACCCTGGGATCATGACCTGAGCCAAAGGCAGACGCTTAATGGCTGAGCCACCCAGGTGCCCCTGAAAATCTTTTTTTTAAACCCAGCTGTTCTTTTATGGATTTGGATATACTACACTTCAAATCATGTTACTGGAAACAGTATTTTTGCATTCAAGAGACTCCTGATTTAAATGTTTAGCTTTAAAAAGAAAGAAATGTTAATCCTGTGCTTCAACAATGGTGAGATAAACACCTGGTATAGAGAGTTGGACCTTCAGAGATCCATCTCCTTTCCATGTGCCCCACGAAATGTTGAATTTTAAAGAGTTCCATTTACACTATGCTCTTGCATTAATTTTGACAGGAGAGTTTTACTCATGTTATTGTGACACATTCACACGTTTAGAGAATGTTTTAGTGGCCTGCAGCGTGACCAGAGGAACATGATGGAGAGCTTTGTCACACTGCACGTTATGTGGACTATTCTCCAAAGGGCTATTTAGGGACTGGAGGTGGAGAACAATGCATCTGAGGGAAAACTCATCCCACTTAACTCTAGAACCAAGTATGTACCAGGATGTGCAAAACCAGGACAGAACTAACTGCATGCGTGGTGTGCATCAATTAATTATGTTCTTTCCTTCTGTTTGTAGGCTCCACATGGGAAAAGACGTTTCGGCAAATTGGCTTTGAAAGGTAAGCAGGGTTTAGCGTGTTAGCATGTCTTCACTTTTAGGTTCTCATGCCCTGCTTCATTCTAAGTAATTTATTGATGATAAATCAGTGGTCTCACCAAGTTTGTTCCAAAGTAGCCCTTTGTGTTATAAAATCCCTGCCTGCACACAGAGGAATTTACATGAAAATCCTCTTAAACTAGGAAAGAGCATCAAAGGTGAGTTGTCTAACTGGAGAAGTCCATGAAGTCGTTTGGTCTTTTCTAGCTTTATCACTGCCTATGTCATATCAGTTCTATAGTTTTCACACAAAACAATGTATATTGATATTGACATCGTCCCAGTTATCAAAATTGTTAGGTCTTATCCGCTCCAAGTTGAAAGCTGGGATCATGGCACTCCTAGCTAAAAGCAGTCCTAAAATGGACTCATTATAACATCAGACAAAGTCGAGGTAGGGTCAGTAAGGTTACTATCCCACCTGCCTTGGAACTCAGTGGCAGCCTGTGGGACAGATCCCTCCCAGTGGCATTTAGTGTCTTCTCTGGAGCTCGCTGTATCAGTACAGCTATTGGAAAAGAGAAAAGTGATTTTAATTTCTTTTTTTTACTCTAAAGGCAGATTTTTTAAATTTTTTAAAAAATTTTATTTATTCATTTGAGACACAGAGATACAGAGAGAGAGAGAGAGAAAGCATGAGCAGGGAGAGAGGCAGAGGGAGAGGGAGAAGCAGGCTCCTCACTGAGCCAGGAGCCCGATGTGGGGCTCGATCCTGGGACCCTGGGATCATGACCTGAGCCGAATGTTCGGCTTTGAGATGCTTAATGATCTGAGCCACCAGGCGCCTCTAAAGGCAGATTTTGACTAGTTCTTTTTATCATATTGAAAACCTGTTCTTCCGTGTATTATTCAAGCTGACCGAGTGCTTAGAGAAATGATAAAATACTTTAAAATGCCTTTCTCCAGTAGCAAGAGAGAATAGCTCAGCACAAGACTGACTGTGGTGGCATTTCCTGTACCATTTTTTATTTGATTCAAAGATTTATTTCTTTCTCTACATAAACTCCCACTGAATCAGCACCATGGCCGTAGGTCTCACAGGAAGGCTATTGCAGAAGGTTGGCTTGAGTTGGGCAGATCTCATAGGCCAACCTAAAGCAGAAAAAAATCATGTCACTCCTTCATTTCATGTGAAATCTTTTCCCAAAGCAGCTTTCTCTTGATTCTCTCTTCATATTATGACAAACACAGAAGCAAAGGGGAGAGAATAACAAATTGAATGTCATTATCCAGCTTCAGTAGGACTTTGTCATCCTTCCTTTGTTTATTTTTGGGGTGGTAGGGGTTAAAATATTTTAAAGGAAATCTCAAACATCATGTCATTTTGTCCCTACATAGGTTGAGGACACATCTCTGAAAAAAAAATTGGGTATTTTCTTCCAGAATCATGATGCCACTATCATGCCGAATACAAATAACAATAAGTCCTTGGCATCATGTAGTATCCAGTCAATGTTTACATTTCCTGACCATTTCAAAAATGTTATAGTGCAGGTACTGGTTTGAATCGCCATGCTTCTGAAGCCCACACATTCCAGCTTGTTGTTACAGCTCAAGTAACAATTCCCTGCCAGCTTCATTTTGGTTTTCTTCGTGTCATTGACTTGTCAAGAAACCAGGTCAATTGTTGGAAGGTGTCGCATTCTGGGTTTGTCAGTTTGTGGTATTGTTTATCTTGTTATTCTATCCCCCTGTTTCATTTACATTCCCACTTTGCTCCCTTTTGGTCACGGGGAACAACTTCATATTGACTTTTTGTCCTTTTGACACAGGACTACCAGTCTTTGATAGTTTCCATGTTTCTAGTACAACTACAAGCCCATCCAGTATTCCAGATCTGGCAAGGAGCCTGTTTTTTTGAGGAGAATGGTATTTTGAAATCACAGTCTAAATACTAGGGACACCCATCATATCTGGACTTTCATGTTTCTGGGCTGTTTCAATATATGTTAGAGCTAGAAAATAACTTTTTTATTTTTTTTAAGATTTTTTTTCTTTATTCATTTGAGAGAGCAAGACCATGAGCAGAGTGAGGGTGAGAGGGAGAGGGACAGACTTCCCACTCAGTGGGGAGCCCAATGCAGGGCTCAATCCCAGGACCCAGGGACCATGACCCGAGTTGAAGGCAGATGCTTAACTGACTAAGCCACCCAGGCACACTGAAAATACCTTTTTTAAATAAAAAAATAACCTGAATTCTTACATTATTTCCAAATCAAACGTAGCCTTACAGAATTTTTAATTTCTCTGGTACCACATTTGCATTTATTTTCTTTTTCACTAAAAATCTTGGTTCTTAACAAAACTTACTTATTTTAATGTATATATTTTTTAAATACAAACACTAATATTACCACTCATAATAAAAATATTAAATGAAGTTTTTAATTTTTTTGTTTTTTGAAAAGATTTATTTATTTGAGAGAGAGAGAGTGCTTGCGGTTGCATGCAAGTGGGAGGAGGGGCAAAGGGAGAGACTCACCAGCAGACTCCCCATTGAGCATGGAGCCCGACTCTGGGCTCGATCTCACAACCCATGAGATCATGACCTGAGCCAAAACCAAGAAGTTGAATGCTTAACTGACTGAACCACCCAGGCGCCCCAAGAATATTAAATGAAGTTTTAAAATTTGCTTTCAGTCTTCATTTTATATTACATTAAGGATGTACAATTAAAGACTCAAAACTTAAGTTGCTTAAGTTTTTTTTTTTCTATGTGGTCATATTCTAACTTTTATATATAATTTGGTTCATTTGTTTCAGAATCTTTTCAATTTTAATGGATTTTTAAAATTTCATTTTATTTTTGAATATATAACATTTATATGTCTCCATGTACAAATTATATGTTTTTATATATACAAAGTGTTTTCAGAGAAATGTCACATGCATCCCCTGCCCCTGCATCCTATGCCTTCTTCTTTCCCCAGTTGCATGGTTATTAGCTTTTGGTTTAAGCTTTCAGTATTTATTTTCACATATGCAAGCTGATACTTGCATATAACTGTATCCTCGCCCTGTTCTTGCGTGAAGAGTGGCATAGTATATATATTATTGTGCCCTTTGATTTTTTTTTTCACCAGGAGTATATCATAGAAATCATTCCCCATCAGTGTATATAGGTATTCTTCACTCCATTATCTTGCAGTTTCCACTCCTTTAGGTGGATGAGCCAATATAAAGGATGAGCTTGGTTAAATCAGGAATCTCATCCAGTATCAAGCTTTACTAATAATTTTAAGGATTCAAGCAACCAGGGACACTGGTAATGGAGGGAGAAAACCAGGCAGGATATCCCATGTGGCTCCTCACATCCTTCTTTTTGATATCATATATATACTTTTTGGCCCAGAGAGATAGATGAGATTTCCATTGAGATTTGCAAGTCCCTCACATAGTAGGAAACATGATTTTGCAACATCTCCAGGGTTACACCTAAGAAATTTGAAGAGCTCATGTGACATTCTCCAGAGAGTTATAACTCATCAATCTATGATGCGGATTTTTTTATCATAACATCCTAAACCAGGGCTTTCCTGCTTGATGAGGACTCTTCTCCTAGGAAAAAAAAATTATTCTCTTTGCCCAGTGATCTAGTTAATATGTATACAAGAAGCCTAAATCAGGTCACTTTCCTTCTTCCCTCAACCCCAGTATCTCCTTTGTAATCAGAGGAAAATGGATCACAAGCAACTTGCTTTAACTCCTTCTTTTCCAGTACCTCGTGGGGGAACATTCAGGCTATTTTCAGTCTTTTGCTCTTACAGAAAAATGTTGTAATGAATAACCCTGTGCATACTTGTGATTTTGCCAGATATCTTAGGGATTAGATTCCCAAGGACAATCAATGAGTAAATTATATGGAATTTTGCTAATTTTGCCAAGTTTCACTCCCTAGAGTTTCAACAATTTGCACTCCCGGTAAAAATGCATGAGAGTATTTCCCCAGTGCCTCACCAACAGAATATGCTGTCAGACTTGAGATTTTTGCCAGTCTGATAGATGAGAAATGGTATCTCAGTGTCCCTTTAATTTGCATTTACCCTGCATCATTTTTCCATAGAGTAAAGAACAGATTAAGATCTTTTCTGTCAACTAAGTGAAGCGCTTTGGGCAAGAGCTTCTTCTCAGATGGTTAAGGATTCATTGATCAACAGTATTTGGCAGTTGAAACATTTTCTTCCTAGCTTATATGACCTTAACCTTTCCCTTACTTGAATAGTGATCTAACGAAACAGCTACCGTGTACCAAGCACTATGTTAAATAATTTCTAGGATCCATACAGCAACCTCACAGACCAGGGACTGGCAAACAGTTACTATAAAGGACAGATGCTAAACATTTTAGGTTTTACGAGCCGTACGATTTCTGTTGTAATTTCTCAACTTTGCCTCTGTAGCATAAAGCAGCCATAGACAATGAGTATGGCTGTATTCCAATAAAACTTTATTTACAAAACCGGCAAGTGGCCATCATTTATTGACCGCCCCCACTGTAGCTTCTGGTTGCCCACTCACAGATGAAGAAACTCAAAGAAATCAAGTAGTCTACACATACAGTCATGGCCATTGACCTGCATTAGTACTGACCTACATTCTGTTCTAGTTTGCCTAGTTCCAAAGATGAAGGTTTTTAGACCAAAACACCCTAAAATCTTGATTTTAGGTCTCTTTTGTTTTATGTTGTTTTATGTTTCCTATCCCTGTACCTCTGGGCATGTGATCTCAAATCACAGTCTTATTGGATATTCTCATTTGAATAAAGTCAGACAGTATAAAGTTCATATTACAATGCCTCCCTAAAATTGTTATACTTCCAAATAGATGTACAAATAAAAATATTGTTAAGGAGTATATCAAGTGCAGTGCTTTATTTTCAAACTGTAATCTCAGCTGGGTGATCATCCTGATTTTTAGATGTTACCTTAAAATGTCATCTTGCGTTTTCCCAGATTATCCTGT